TACTCTGTATACTTTTCACAAGTAAAAGAATAATGATATGGTGAAGTATTACAGTCAGAACAAAACTCTGTTGTACATTTTGTACATCTAAATCTAAATTCTTCTCTATGTCTTGCCGTTTCTTCAGTCATTACCGAACCATCTGGTGAAAGTAGATTTAATTTATTTCTTTTTTTTTGAGTCGTTGATGTTGTGCTTGTTGTAGTTGTTGTAGTTGTTGTGTTGTTTGAATTTGAAGAGTAGTTTGAGTTTGAGGAGGTTGAAAGTAAAGAAGTTATTGAAGCAAAAGAAGAATTTGAGAGTGAATTTGATAAAGATTGTGGCAATGGTGAAGTTGAAGCTGAAGTTGTAGCAGTTGTATTAGCGGAGGAAATTAATGGTGGTGATAAAGGTGGTTGTTGAATTCTTTCAAAAACCTCTTGACAATTTGGACAATGAATAAAGTTCTTATTATTATGGAGAACTTTTTCCAATTGTTTTTTTAAAAGTAGTTGATACTCGGAATTATCCAACACCATTCTAAGCATAGCATCTTGAATCTTGTCACTACAATCTTCATAGACACAATGTATTTGAACCCCACCCATTTGAATTTGATAGAGAATGCCATTCTTTAGACATGATTTACAAAAATTATGTAAACAATCATCCATTAAAAATAAATTTTCTGGTTGTGCTTCAAAATTTTTTTTACATATAATACAATGTGATAGCATATCTTGATCACGATTTGATTCCTCTTCTTCTCTTTCACTTAAAATCATTCTCAAAACTTCAGGATCAATTGATCCGTTTAATCCAAAATTTGATTGATATTGTTGTTGTTGATAAATTAGTGATGAAAAATTATTATTATTATTATTATTATTATTATTATTTTCGTAAAAAACATTACTTTGACCACTACTTTTACAAGATGAGGAAGAAGTTGTTGTTGTTGAAGTTGTTGTCGTTTGAAATGGATTATAGGTAAAACTATTATTTTTTATACTATTATTTATATTATTATTATTATTATTATTATTAAAATTATTGTTTAAACTGTTTGTTACTAAGGATAATAATTTCTTTTGACTATCCAAGATTTGATTAATATTTGTTTCATCCCTATAAGATGATGAAGGTGACGTTTTTGAACTACTATTACTACTATTACTATTGCTACTACTACCACTACTACCACCTTTTGTTATAGATTCTAAATTAAACCATTCATCCATATTATATTCAATGTCATCTGGTGTAGTTATTGTGGCTCTAATATGAATTTGGCCAACCATGCCAAACGAGCCATTTAGGTCTATCCAATTTTCAAAAACATTTTCTTTTGCTATTGTTTCCAATGAAACTGTTGCGAATCCTATTTCATTATTCTTTATAAACATTTCATTATCCCAAACATAAAATATAATGTTTGGTTGTGGTTTTAAAAATCTATCGCTCTCTTTAATTTCTCTGGATAAGTATACATTTTATGTTAGTAATTTTTAAAATATTGAGTATTAATAAAAAATAAATACATTTTAAACTCATCATTCCACATGGGATCGGTTGTATTTCTTAATTTTTTAGTTGTTTCAATTTTATCTTTATATTTAACTTCAACATAAGGATCTATTTTACCACCTTGCTTTTTTCTTAAATTTCTTGCTCCAACAACTAATAAATAGAATAATATTTGAAATATAATTAATTTTATCGAATTTTTTTTATTTTATTTTATTTTAAATTTTAAAATCTTGTTGACTTACCTGTAATTGTTATTATTTTTATACCTTCAGAGTTTAATTTATTGCTACAAAATTGATTATTATTTATATTATTTATCATATGATGAAGACTATTATTTGTACAAATACCTCCACAATGATTCGATGTTGTGGAAGTGGAAGTTGCAGTTGTGCTCATTTTATTTTGTTTTATTCAAAATATATTTCTATTTGATCCACTATTATTTTATTATTTTTTTTGATTTCTAAATTAAAAAATAATGGATGTTATTACTTAATTTTTTTTCTCTGAGAAAATAAAGAAAAATATAAAAAAAAAAAAAAAAAAAGTAACAATGATAAAATTTATACCATATAAAAAAAAAATTATAAAATTATAAAAATAATTAATAGTAATAAATTAAAAAACAAAATAATAACAACACCACCAACCTATTAATAAACATAAAGGTTTTGTTAGAAATTGAGTGCTTGTATTTGGGTTAATGTTGTTTCTATAAAGTTGGTTGGTATATGCGGGTGTGCGTATTTTAAATTATAAAAAAAGTTTTTTGTTTTTCTTTATTTTTTTCTTTTTTTTTTTTTATTTTTTTTTTATTTTTTTTTTAATTTATTTTATTGTGTTTAATATTGCTATTTATGAATGAAAAAAAAAATGTTGGTGTGGGTGGGTGTGTGTTAATTTGTAGAATGTTACAATATTGTTGTTGTTATAATTAATAAATAAAAATAAATAAATATTTTACATCTACAAAAAATAAATAAATAAATAAATTAAAATAAAAAAAATAAACAAAAAAATAAAAAAATAAAAAAATAAAAAAAAACAAAAAAAAAAAAAATAAAAAAAAAAATAAAAAAAAAATTAAAATAAATTGAAATTTATGAAAAAATTTATTGAAAATTTTATTTTCTTTAAAATAAAAGAATTGTTTATTTATATTACACATAATATAAAATAATGAATTTGAATGAATGGTAGGTGCGATAATATTATTTTAAAAAAAAAAAAAAAAAAAAGTAAAATAATATTTTAAAATGAATAAATCAATGCTTAAAAATGATTTATCCTTCTTTTTGAATGTGGATTTTTATATTTATTTTACCTAATATAATAGTTTTATTGTAATGATTTTTTTTTTTTTTTATTTTATTATATTTTATTTTTTTTTATTTTATTTTATTTTTTTATTTTTTAATTTTTTTTAATTTTATTTAGTCAACTATAGAAGTAATTGTATATTTGTAGGCAAATATATAAATTTTTTATTTAAATAAAATTGTATTATAATTTTTTTTTCTTTGCAATTTTTTTTTTTTTTTTTTTTTAATTTTTTTTTTTTTTTTTCTTTTTCAATTCTTTAATTGTTTTGCCAATTGAAGCGAATTTGGAGAAGTGTGGTGGTGTGTTATTCTTAGTGTTTTTGTTAACAACAACAAAGAAAAAAAAAATAAAAAAATTTTAAAAAAAAAAAAAAAAAACAGTAGAGTCATTTTTTTTTTTATTTTGTCACTCTATAAATTTATATGTGAAAAAAAAACTCACTCAATTCAATATCTTGTTTGAATCTTAAAACGTGAATAGTTTTTTTTTTTTTTTTTTTTTTTTTTTTAAAAAAAATATGATAAAAATAATCTATCACCCAACAACACACTAGCACAGAATTTTTGTGTGAAACCCACTGAGTTATAATTATAATATAAAATAATATGACAACTTAAAGCACAGTTTTATTTAATGTATCTATATATATTTGAAAAAAAAAAATAATAATAAAAAATAAAAAATAATTAAATATAAAAAATTTTATATCATTTCAAATAATAAAAAAAAAAAATAAAAAAATTTAAAAAAAATAAAAAAATTAAAATAAATAAAATTTGATAACATCATAAAATAAAAAAATACTATTATTATTTTGATTGAAATTATTTTTTTAATTTAAGATCACTTCTTTAATTTCGAAACTTGTAATAATATGGATGATGGCGTTATTATATTGTATAAATAATTATAATTGTATATATATTGTATAAATAATAATTTTATTGTTTTTAGGTTTATACCATCATCATCATCAAAAAAATTATTATTATAATAATTAAAAAAATCATTTCTAGTATAGTTAATCATAGAATTATTTTTTTTTTTTTTTTTTTTTTTTTTTTTCTTTTTGGGGAAATAATTTTTTTTTTTTTTTTATTTTCTATTTTTTTTATGACATTGGAGAAAGTTATTATGAAGTGTTATTATTTGTTTTGTTTGAAATTGTAATGGAATGTAATCACTACTGCAATACTTTTGTTTTTTTTAGTTGACTAAGGTAGGTGTAATATTTCTAATAATATTTCTTTTAATTGTTTATTGTTCTAGCAATATTTCATAATATTACAAGACTTTAAGAAAAAAATATCGATGATCAAGGTATGAATACCTTAATAAAATGTCAAATTCTATTTATTTATTTAATACCTTATATTTAGTTTATTCTTTTTACTTTTTTTTTTTTTTCAAATGTCAATAGTCAAATCAATTGTATATAAATGTGCTGGTGATGGGTATAATATAAAAATAAATGCCTCTCAGCTTCAGAATTACAAGTTAACATTTTTTTTTTTTTTTTTTTTTGTCCATAACAATTTTCTATTATTATTATTATTATTAATTATTATTACTATTATTATTATTATTATTATTATTATTATTATTATTATTATTATTATTATTATTATTATTATTATTATTATTATTATTATTATTATTATTATTATTATTATTATTATTATTATTATTATTATTATTATTATTATTATTATTATTATTATTATTAATAATAATTTTTTTAGGAGAGTAGTGGAGGTAATATATACTGAATTTTTTTCTATAATTATATGCGATTTAAATTGAATTGTTGTAACAATCCAAGGAATTGTGGTTCGTTTAATTATCCAACATCACTATGTGGAACAATACTGATCAATCTGATGTTTGAGGTTAAATGGGATTTTATGGTACAGAATCAAGGATGCTAGTTGTAGTGCAAGCGGGGTTAAGATATCATATATATCAATATTTTATTATTTCGTTTGTCAAAGAGGTGCACGAAATTTAATTTTATATGAAAAAGTCTACCATCACATTATTAGGAAGTGATTTTCTAAGGATACAGTATTTGATTGGTATTCTGTTTTTAATTTTTTTTTCATTATTTTGTCTACCAGTGGGAGTCGAACCCTTGATCTATCGGTGGGGTTACAGAAAAAATTTTACGAGACCATCAGGGGTCGAACCTGAGACCTACCGGTTCGTAGCCGGTCGTTATATCCAACTAAACTATAGTCCCTAACATGAAATTTTGAAAAGAATCGCGTGAGCCATATCTAAATATATAGAGACAGCCTAAAAAACTGTGATATTCAATTTAAAAAAAAAAAAAAAAATATCTAAATATAAAATTTAAATTGGGAAAAAAAAAAAAAATATCTAAATATAATCCTTCTTATCTCTTATAAGAATATTTTAATTGTGTCCCTTGAATTGTTATTTATGTAACTCTTTTATATAAATATAAATTCCACAATATAATCAATAATAATAATTTATACTCTTTATCTGTTTATATACTTATTGTTAATTAAATGATGAATGTTTATTTTATAATTTTATTTTGTTTTTATACTCGAGTTATTTCCTAAGGAACCTATAGGTTAGATTCTGTTGAGACCTTCTAATCAAACCTTCTCTTCAGACCTTTTGATTCTAACCTTGGACTAAACCTTAGGTGGTTTTATAGCATCATTATTCATTCGAGTTTATTACAATTTGAACAATTTTATCTCATTTGTGGGGCTTTTTATAGTGGTTTCAATGAAACATTTTCCAATTATTTGGAAAATTGGATGAAGCTAAAATTTTCAACTATTTATATTGTAACTTTCCAACCAACCAAATCAAAATTATCAAATGTCCTCAGCAAGATAATTCACATAATTGTTTATTAAATTCTTTAAAAATATTATTTGGATCTAAAATATAAAATAACCCATTTAAAAAAGAAATGATTATGGTCAATTTATAAATTATTATAGTAATAATTTTGTTAATATTTTAGATCAGAGTTAACCCATTTAAAAAAGAATTTAATAAAGAATTATGTGAATTATCTTGCTGAGGACATTTGATAATTTTGATTTGGTTGGTTGGAAAGTTACAATATAAATAGTTGAAAATTTTAGCTTCATCCAATTTTCCAAATAATTGGAAAATGTTTTCATTGAAACTTTTTGAAATGTTGTTATTATTTAAAGAATCCAAAAATTTAAAAAAAAATAAAAAAAAAAAAATTAAAAAAAAAATAAAAAAAAAAAATAAAAAAAAAAATAAAAAAAAAAAATAAAAAAAAAAATGCAAAAAAAAAATATTTACTCATAATAAAAAAGAATAATAATATTTAAATTTTTTTTTTTTTTTTTTTTTTTTTTTTTTGTTAATTTATTTAAGAAACAAACAAACAAACAAACAAACAAACAAACAATGGATAATAATAAAATTTATAATATTTTATCATTCAATACAAATGACCTTAAAAATTATCGGACAAAAATTTTGATATCCAAACTGAGCTCAAAGATAGTTTAATTAAAAGTATGTCTTCTGGTATTATACCAATTGAAGATATTAAAAATGAATTGTTTAATTATATAGAGGATAATAATATTCCACTGCTGATAATACAAATATTTTTAAAAGTATGTATACATATATGTTAAATAAATTTTCATTTTTAGGTTTAATTAATATTTTCTAATTCTATTTTATAAAGATAAAACATTATTTAAAATCATTGAATCTTTATATGGGTTAACTGGATATTTAATGTTAACAACATCTCTTTGCTTATTTAAGTCAAATGAAAAAAATAAAAGACAATTTAATAAAATTGTGGAAAAAATAAGTAGAAAAATTTGAATTTTCAAACAAACTAAAACTTTTAGAAACTCGAGAAGAAATTATAGATAAAAAAATAACTAAATTGGAGGAACAAATCATTGAATCGCCAAAAAAACCACAACTTTTAGATGAATCACAAATAGAAAAAAACAAAATAAATATCAAAAAGCAACAAGAGTTTTTTTTGAGAGTAATGTTATTAACATATAAACCAATTTTAAGCATGATAACAACATTTAATAAAAACCCTGATAGTAAAATCTATGACAATTTTAAAGATTCAATTCATAGAAAAATTCAAGACCATATAAAATCAGAAAACAAAAATATATTGGCAAATATATAAAAAAAAAAAGAAAAAAACATTTCATTTGAAAAATATATTTTGGAAATTCGCAACAAAGGTGTGTATACAGAGGGAAAGATCCAAATAAATCATATTTTACAATTCGAAAATCTCTGTAAAATAGGTGGTGACAATATTAACAAGGCAGGTAAGTTTTAAACATAATTTAACATATTTAATTTACCCATTATTTACTTATTATTTAAAGTTCAGATGCATTAAAAATAATAAATTAAACCAAATTATTAGATGCGTAAGAATTAAGTTAGAAGAGAAAAAATCAGTCAAAACCTATTTTCCATCAATTGAGAGTGAATTTGAGAATTTTGAAAAATGGTATGAATATTTTAGAATTGTAAAATCATTTTTGAAAACTATATTCAAATAAAAAAAATAAAAAATAAAAAATAAAGATAAAAACAAACAAGGTTGCAAAAAAAAAAAAAAAGAAAAAAAACTTCAAATTAAAAGCATCAACCCAGTATCAATTTTCATTATTTTTAATTAACTTAAAAAAACCACCTTAATAACAAATTATTTCCATTTATGTCAAAATCTATCTGTTTTCAAAAAAAAAAAAAACCACCCACACAAAAAAATTAATTTTAAACATCAATTGAACCTGTAAAAAATAAAACACAATAAACACTTCGATGAGAGACAACCTGTCATTCAATTTTTAAGATAAAAAAATGGGGTCACCAAATTTTTTTAAAAAAAAAACACACATTTGTAAATGAATAAAAAAAAAATAATTAGTACTTTTTTAAATTCTATAAAACTTAAAAAAGTAAGTGAGCTATTTTAAATTATAATTACATATAATCAAATAAAAAATAAAAATAGTATGTATTTAAACGTTTATATTTTTTTATTTTATTTTCATTTTTCAAAAAAAATGAATAATTTTGTTGAAAGTAGTAGTAGTAGTAGTAGTAGTAGTAGTAGTAGTAGTAGTAGTAGTAGTAGTAGTGATATTATAAAAAATGATGCAACATATGTTATTACACATTTTATCTTAATTTTATTTTTTATAATTTTATTATTATTTTCATGTTTATGTTATTTTAGAGAAAAAGGTAAATAAAAATTATATTTAAAAAAAAAAAAAAAAAAAAAAAAAAAAAAAACAAAAAAAACCAAATGGCTAATAATTTAAAAAATTTAAAAAAAGAATATTTTAAAAAAATTATAATTGCTATTTATTGGCCATTAATTGTAGGTGCTGGTTTTAGAGCCATTTCATTTTTTATGTTCTTTGTATACAAAGAAGAATATTTTGAAGAAAGTAAATGTGTTGTTGATATATTATATATATTATATATTACACCTCCATTCTTATTCTTTTCATTCTTTTCAAGTACTTCAATATTATTGTAAATATTTTTTAAATTAAAAATTTAATTTTAAAGTTATTTCTAATTTTTTTATTTTTATTTTTTTTATTTTTATATAAAAAAAAAAAAATTAGGCTAGAAGTATTTAGAGAAGTAAAATATTCTGAAAAATTAGGTTACTTCTATAAAGTTATAATTCAAATGTTAAATGTCATTGTTTATGTGGTTTTATCTACAATGATTATCATTGAATTTTTTTTTCCTGGAAAAAAAGAAAATCATTATAGTGGTTCACTTGCTGAAAGTATTAACCAGTTTTTATTAATTTTTGTTTATTTATTTGGAAGTTATATTTCTCTTGTTTTTTGGTAATATATATTTATTTATAAAATTAATCTTAAAATATATATATATATATATATAAATTATATTTACTAATTTATTTTTTTTTAAATAAAAAAATAGTAAACTATCATATGATGATAAAAGTACTAATAGTGATGGAACTTTTGATGCACGTGCTTCTTCAAATTTTAAGAAAAAATTTTATCTGGCAACAACTGTTAGTTGTGTATGCTTTTTCGTTAAATCAATTATCATAATGGTAACTGTTTTTTATGAAATTGATCCATGGGGTGTCAATGATTTATTTTTCTACACATTTGAATTAATTCCATTTTCAATACTTTTATCCCTCACAAATCAACTTAATAAAATTTCAAGAACAGAGAAAAAAAATATATCTAATGAAAAACCAACCTCCACCACACCATTATTTATAACATAAACATTAAAAAAATAAAAAATTTTAAAATTTAAAATTAAAAATTTAAAATTTAAAATTTAATATTTAAAATTAAAAATTAAAATAAAAAAAACAACTTTTTTTCAATCAAAATTTTGGGGAGAAAAGGAAACAGTAATGAAAATATTATTTTTTTTTTTTTTTAAATTTGAAAAAAAAATAAAATTGTTCTAAAAATAAAACAATAAAAAAAAATAACTCTTTGATTTTATGGACAGTAAGATTTAAAATTTCAAGTGTGTTTATTTGAAAATAAATAAAAGGGTAGTATTTTTTTAAGTTCTACCTTTTTTTTTTATATTATCTTTTTTTTTTTTTTTTTTTGAAACTTTTTATTATGTTTTATTTTAAAAAAAAAATAGGAAATTTAATTTTATTTGACAAAATTTAAAAATGTACTGTAATTATTTTCAAGCTATACAAGATAATGATATTTCAAGAAAATTATTTGGTGATAAGACATACTTTATTACCCACTCAATTTTAGTTGGTTTCTATGTAATTTTTTTGATTTTTTCAATTTTTAGGTATTTAAAGGAGGAAGGTTAGTAAAATTTTATTATTATTATTTTAAAAAAAATTAAAAAAAAAATAAATAAATAAATAAATAAAAATAAAAGGGTTGGTATTAATATATTTATAACTATTAATAGATCGTTTAAGAAAGATTACAATTGCAATATATTGGCCTCTTTTATTGGCGACTGTTTTAAGAATTTTATCATTTTCATTATTTATTTTGTATACTGAAGGTGTAATTGCAAAATCAAAGTATCTGGGAAATATTATATTCGCGCTATATATCTCACCTGCTATGTTATTCTTAAGTTTTTATTCCAGTATTTCATTATTTTTGTAACTATTTATAAAAAATTTATTTTGAAAATAAAAAAAAAAAAAAAAAAAAAATATTAATCAAAAAATAATTAAAAAAAAAAAAGATTAAAAATTTATACAGGAGAGATCAAACATCAATGTAAAGTTACCATTAAAATGCTAAATGGAATCATTTATTTTGTTATTTTTATTATGGTTTGTCTTGAATTTTCATTATCTCCAAATGAAAAGGCATCAGTTGGTATTCCTAATTCTCCAGCCCAAATGATTATTCAGCTATATATAGCATTTATTTATTTATTTATGAGCTCTGTTTCAATTATTAATTTGTATGTATAATTAATTTTTTTTTTTTTTTATGAAGAAAAAAAAAAAAAAAAAAAAAAAAAAAAAAAAAAAAAAATTTTAACTAATTTAATTAAAAAATAAAAATAATTATTATAATAATAAAAAAATAGAAAATTGTTGCATGACCATAATCTTGATGATGAATATGATGCATGTTCCACTGAAGCTTTTAAAAGAAAATATTATATAATTAACTTTCTTGGTAGTTTTTGTTTTTTAATTCGTTCAATAATAACAACAATTACAGTTTTTAATCAAATTGATCCCTTTGGAGTAAAAGATGTCTTATATTACACTTTATTAGAAATTATTCCAATCTCATTACTCTTATATATTACAAAAGAACTTCATATTTTTTCTGGATCAATGAAATCACAGCAGGGTAATGGTGAAGCCAATCAAAGGTTGAATTCACCTCTTATTGAAAAAAAAAATTAAAAAAAAAATTATTTATATTATCTCATGAATGTTTATGATTTTTGATTCCTAATTAATAAATGAAAATCATAAACACGCGTGACATAATATATAAAATTTAGAAATTATTATCACTATTTTTTTTTTTTTTTTTTTTTTTTT